ATATATCTCTGTCTGCGGGGACAGTCCTCTGTCTGCGGGGACAGTCCTCTGTCTGCGGGGACAGTCCTCTGTCTGCGGGGACAGTCCTCTGTCTGCGGGGACAGTCCTCTGTCTGCGGGGACAGTCCTCTGCTGTCTGCGGGGACAGTCCTCTGTCTGCGGGGACAGTCCTGGTAAATGGTAAATGGTCACATTTTTCTATAACGCTTTTCCACCTTCACAACAAGGAACCACTCACCCATTCACACACCCATTCACACACCAGTGTACGCAGACACTGTGGGCAAGGTGGGTTAAGTGTCTTGCCCAAGGACACAACGACAGCATTCATCTGTGGGAGCTGGAATCACACCAGCCAACCTGTGGGTCAGTGGATCTGACCACTCAACCTGTGATGTTTATGTCGAGAGCTGGATTCGAAACCACCAACCTTCAAAACAGACCTGGAGTTGTGTTTTGTTTCATTCACACATGTTTGAGTAACTCTCTATTATTAGTCTGTCTACATGTTTAAAGCTCCAAATGCTCTGTTCCACCTTGTGATGTCATGAAGTGGTAGTTTTCAAGTGAAAAACTACTGTTCATCTTTAGTTCCCTAAATGTTGCAGCAGCAAAACTTGAATTTCCCTCGGGGTCATCAAAGTATTTCTCTCTGTCTGATCCAAAAGGAGTGATTTGTCCCAGTTTTATACAAGAAATGCCCCAGGTGTCTATATTTTTGACCAACTGCCAACCGCCAACATAAAGAAAGGGACATAGTGTCTAGTGTTTTTGTTTAAATGCAGAAAAACACAGTCCTCCAGCTAGGTACTCCTAACCATGAACCTAGCTCAAGTTCTGGAGAGGGACATTAAAGATAAACATTAAATCCTGGGAATTGGTATAATCTTGCTCTAGTTAGATAATTATTGATGTAGTCTTAACATAGTTTTAGTTCAGATTTAGTCTTGATCCTGGTTTGCTGAAAGCCCAATATTTTAAAAATCTTTTTCCAACCTATTGTTATGGCACATTTGTTGCTGAAAAGATGTTGGGGCACGCTAAAAACTCATTTATTTATTGGAAAAATTGCAGTGTTCCTCATGTCTGTCTCTTTTGGATTTGGTCCTGATCGTTGTTTTGATTTCCACAATGGTAAATGAACAAATAACAGAATTCTTTGTGGTTAAAAATCAAGATCTTCAAGGCGCCGTACCTGATTTTTTCTGCCTTAAAAACTTATCTAGTTCATTTACAGTCTGCAGTGGTCCAAAGTTACTCTTTGCTGAACTTAGGCATTCAGAACATCTTATTCATTATTCACCATGATGAGTTTAGAAGTGCTTTTGGACAACTCTCAAAGACCAGAGCGGAGTCTTGCTAACATTTAAGATACATTGTGTAACTTTTCTGGTGGAAGGTCCATTTTCTCCATGGAGATGTAATTGGTTTGTCTGGAGTGTTTCACAGTGTGGTATTAAACCTTTCAATCTTGGAAACCAGACCAGACCAAGTTACAGATCACATCTGTGGAGAGATGACCCCACTCACAGTCAGCTGTTTAATGTCATACTGTGGGACATTCCAGGTACGGCAATGACATATCTATAGAAACCTTGCATCTTTAAGCAGCATGCAAACGCCTACTTCCTTCTTATCAGACTATAAAATGCTTTATAATTAGATGCAGCCCGCACGCAGCAGACATGTTTTGACCTCAAGAGCTCCTTATACTATACATCTGAACTGAGAATAGACACTTTGCTCAAATACATGATAAAACATGGAGTACATCGTCTTGAAGGTAGAGTGAACAGTTTGAGACTGGCTGTCCAAACCCATCCTGCTGTCTTTGATCAGGCCCCTGTTTTAGCTGTCCTCCTCTAGTCCAACACTCTCTCTCTCGCCACATATACTTTACTTGTCTCTTGATCGCCCAAACTGTACTGGACAGGAGCAGGGAGAGAGATGGGGTGTAGAAAGAAAGTGCCGGATTAGAAGAAGCTTGTTCACTAAAGTGCGCATCACTTTCAATAAGTCCAGATGGTTACAAGGGAGTGTGGAGGCTCTCGCGTTAGCTTACTGATGATCCTGAATCCTGATCCAGACTCCAGGATTCCAATGATCTGGTTTGTCCCAGTTGATGCATCAGGTGATAAGTTCTTTGTGTTTTATAAAGACATATATAGTGCTTGTGTCGGCTCTATAGTTCTAATCTATGACACCCGTGGATCATTATGTCATCATTTGTACATTTTAAATTGTAATATACATCTAAAATGACTTAATAAAAGAAACAAATCTGCTGACTTCCATGTTAGAAAACTGTAACGCCCAATGGGAGCTGATGTTGTTTAAATGTCATCACAACAAAGCGCTGTGAAGTCGTCAGCACTTCTGATGGATAGCTGCACGTCACACTAGTGAGCAGCAGATTCAAAAATAATAATAATGACCAAAAAAATGACTGCACGCCGCTGCTGTACATGAATCACTGATTAAGAAAGTAAAATTGGAGAACAAAGTAGGTACAGAACAGTGGATGCTGGTCCAGAGCTCTTTCTCACTTACATTATGTGTTCCGAACATCCTAATAATTCACACCAATTATTTATGACAGACTATCACAACTTTAAGAGGCCAGAGCTGTCACGATACATCTAATAACTAGTATGCTAACATGCGCTTCCTGATCATCGCACAATGTACACAGCACACAGCTCATATAATATATCTGTTCTGGGGATAAACACTGGGTACACTATGTGACTTTTTCTACCATCTGCCTGTCTCCACGGAGATCAGACGGGATTGGGCATTCTCCAAGTTGTAAGGCTGAACGAGATGTGATTTCTTTACCTGAATGTTCCACAGTATGGCATTAAATGTATCTAAAAGTTTAACATCTAATGCAAAAATTGGTTTAAAAACTGATGCATCTACAAACCAGTCTCCATCCCTCCTCCAGCCTCTCTTCCTTCTCTCATCTTTTCTGCAGTTCCACACACGGGCAGATGGTGCTGCAAAGTGGGAAATCCATACAGAGAAATGTAAACACACAGTTCAGCCTCTCGGCGTAGTACTGCCGACATGTGGGACGGGACCTTCCAGTCCTGGAGTTAGATATAAGCCTTGTGGAAATGACATTAGACACTATTACCATCAGTGTTTTTGTTGAGCTTTGGTTTTGATTCTGATTTATTCTCAAATGTTTCAACTGTTTTCTATTATCAAATATTCACATCTGCACATCAAAACCATAGTATGTAACTTTATAGCTTTTTTTCCACTTTGTATTATTGCACGTAAAAACACACATCCTTACTTTAAGCAGGTTTGCATCTTCATAAATCTGACTCACATTTTGGCAGGAGTGGAAATGGAAATATTCCTTTGGCTATAAGATTCCAATTCCAAAACAACTGTAAAATAATGTGACAACAAACATGACAACAACCTATGACATTCATTGATTTGGAATTTTAGTTCAATTTCTCCTGCAAAAATAAAATCAGTTATATAAAAGTAATATATTTGTGTGTTATAAATTTTACAGAGTGCAAATTGTGTAATATATTTGAATTTGAGATGTATTTTTGAGTATAAAACGTGTCCTTAACATAACCCAGTGATAAAAATGCACGACACAAACATTTTCCATCATTAACCCTTTGTTCTCGTGTCACTCACAGCTCCGCTCCTGTCCATTGTCATGTGTCTGTCATCACCATAACCATCTCCACGGCTCTGCTCTCCATCTAACACGACACCCCCCTCCCTGTGTCCCACCGCGGACCCCAGGTAAGCTCTCCCTGGGGGGAATCCCACCGGCAACGCTGAAAACACAAACCAGAGACGACAGAGCACGACGGCGGGAGGATGGTTAGAAGTGACAGGGCTCACAGGAGAGATAAAGTGATATGATGAGAAGAGGAGGGTGAACAGACGTGTATTGAGCTGTGCCAGGAACTATACATGATGATAATGGACGTGTGATTGGTTATATGACGTGTGTAAGTGGTGCTTTGGACAAAATTGGGTGACAGTCTATGTAAATATATAATAAAACTGTTTAGTTGCTCCAGTGTAATTCAGATATTCCAAGTAAATTCTGTACTGTTTAATTTTTTTTCTCATTTTTTTGCACTTCTCTTTTTCATTATATTATTATTATTATTATTATTATTATTATTATTAGCAGTAGTAGTAGTAGTAGTAGCAGTAGCAGCAGTAGTAGTAGTAGCAGTATATTTTTTCATTTAGTATTATAATTATTATAATTATTATTATTATTATTATTATTAGTAGTAGTAGTAGTAGTAGTAGTAGTAGTAGTAGTAGCAGTAGTAGTAGTAGTAGTATATTTTTTGCATGTATTATTATTATTATTATTATTATTATTATTATTATTATAGTAGTAGTAGTAGTAGTAGTAGTAGTAGTAGTAGTAGTAGTAGTAGTAGTAGTAGTAGCAGTAGTAGTATATTTTTTGCATTTAGTATTATTATTATTATTAGTAGTAGTAGTAGTAGTAGTAGTAGAAGTAGTAGTATATTTTTTGCATTTATTATTATTATTATTATTAGTAGTAGTAGTAGTAGTAGTAGTAGTAGTATATTTTTTTTGCATTTATTATTTTATTATTATTATTATTATTATTATTATTATTATTATTATTATTATTATTATTATTATTATTATCATTATTATTTCGGAAAGAAATATACATTTGTAATTTTTATTTATTTTTATTTTTTTTATATATATATAAAGTCAAAATTTTTGCTTTCTGATTTTTTTTTTTTTTATATTTTTTTTTGTGTTTCCTAATATGGGGTTATTGGCCAAAATGAAATAAATTGCTGCACGATGGCTGGGTGGTCATCAAGAAGGTCCTTGGTTCGACTCCTGAGCAAGTTGGGGTATTTCTCTGTGCATCTGTGCTGAAACAAATTTGCACAGATATATGGAAAATACAGGTCCTTAAATGGCAAGTTAAAAACCCGTTCTCTTGTGTTTCAGGTTTGTTCCACCGGGCCATAGCGCAGAGCGGGACAGCCATCTCCAGCTGGTCGGTGAACTACCAGCCCCTGAAGTACACCAAGATCCTGGCACGGAAGGTGGGCTGCACGTACTCGGAGACGGCCGACCTGGTGGACTGCCTCCGGAGGAAGAACTTCAGGGAGCTGGTGGATCAGGACATCCAGCCCGCGCGCTACCACATCGCCTTCGGGCCCGTGGTGGACGGAGACGTGGTGCCGGACGACCCGGAGATCCTCATGCAGCAGGTGAGCGCAGATGGAGGTGGTTTTGGCGGTAGTGCAACCTTTTGGATGTAAGCTGCTGTTAAACTCCACAGAAGAGATGGTATTGTGTGTCTGGAATGTTCTATGACTTAGAGCAGAGCAGAGTTGTCCAGAATGACCAGAGTGGGCAGAATGTTCTATGACTTAGAGCAGAGAAACAGTGTACAACAGCGACAGGTGTTTAACTGGACACAAACCAATTGAATGAAGCTGGTTTATGACTCTGATCCTGATTCTGAATAAAACATGACTAAATAAACCCTTCTGGTGTTAGCAGTGCTAGCATAGCTCCAGCTGTTGATAGATTGATAATTTCTACATTTCAGACAAAAAGCAAATAATCCAGTCTGTTTACATGAAATCCAGCGTGACAAAACTCGTATGATTCTTACTAGTCCATAAACACTCATGTTCCAGTCTGATCTGATCATTATTTATGGCAGAAAGTAAGTTTTATCAGAGTTTGTTGGACTTTTTTAGACTCCAGAGTCATGTGACCTGATTCAGAGTCCATGCATTTTTCCTTTAACGATGGTGGACCAGCTGAGAGAGTGACTTTAATGTATTTATTCCATAAAGCCCATCAGCGGAGGTGATGTTCCTGGTTTAGTCCTGGTTTAGACCAGGTTAAGTCCTGGTTTAATCCTGATCCGGTCCTGGTGCAGTGCTGGCGATCAGCTCAGCGGTTGCGGCATGTATATATACTTATGCTAATGACACTGGTTTAGTCCTGGTTCAGTCCTGGTGTGGTCCTCCTGGCGATCGGCTCAGCGGTTGCGGTGTGTATATATTTATAATCCTCTAATCACATGGCATAAGTTCAGTCCTGGTTTAGACCTAGTTTAGTCCTGGTTGAGTCCTGGTGTAGTCTTGGTTCAGTCCTGGTGTGGTCCTGGTTCAGTCCTGGTTTAGACCTAGTTCAGTCCTGGTTTAGTCCTGGTGTAGTCCTGGTGTAGTCCTGGTGTAGTCCTGGTTTAGACCTAGTTCAGTCCTGGTGTCCTGGTAGTCCTGGTGTAGTCCTGGTTCAGTCCTGGTTCAGTCCTGGTGTAGTCCTGGTGTAGTCCTGGTTAGACCTAGTTCAGTCTGGTTAGTCTGGTGTAGTCCTGGTTTAGACCTAGTTCAGTCCTGGTGTAGTCCTGGTGTAGTCCTGGTGTAGTCCTGGTGTAGTCCTCCTGGCAATCAGCTCAGCAGTTGCGGTGTGTATATATTTTTAATCCACTAATCACACGGCATAAGTTCAGTCCTGGTTTAGTCCTGGACTAATAAACTGACCCCGATTTATCACGGGCGGGTAACGGGTGGAATGTTAACGGATCTGGGCGGGTGTGGTGCTGTACTGCGCGGGTGTGGGTGGGTGCGGGTCAAAAAATGGACCCTGCAGAGGACTCTGACCTGACTGTAGTGTTCAAATTGCTCTCTGACTGAGTACAGTATCTAGTGCCTAAGTAGTGAATGAGGCGTAGGGGTTGTGGTGAATAACTAAAGTTTGGTTAATTACATGCCTATTACTGTTGTAAATGTATATTTTTGAAATCCAACTTTATGCAATAATAAATGGACAGTGGTTTGTGTTTTATAGGCGTCTACTGCACCCAAAGGCTCGCCCTCTTTCTTATAATGGTCTCATTTTCTTGCTGCTGCTAAAATGAGTAGCTCTCTGGCATTTTGTTTTGTAAAGGAGCTCACCGGAGAAAAATGGTTTGAGACCCTTGCGTTAGGGACGAGGGTGGACACAGTCGAGGTTTTGGTGATGCTAATTCTGACCAATCAGATCACTTCACCGCAACATTTCCTGCTTGTGACTTACCTTGCGTTCGATTATCTTTCTGTAACAGTTTTCTGAGGAAGACACACGCCTCTTTTCCTGGGACGGTGCGACTCAGACCTCAGTGGTGGAAAAATTAGACAGAGCAAGGATTCGCCCACTGTGACGTGTAAATATGAAGTGTTTTCATTGTGTTTGGACACTTTGGTGGTTTAAATGACAATTTCGGTCACTCGTATTACTGCAGTACTTTACCGCCTCCGTGTCACTGTGGGTGTGGTAGTCGGTGTTGTGGTGAGGCAACACGCTGCTGTCTCAGTCCAACACGTGAAACATAATAATACGCCTCAAGCTCGGACGTGACATCAAATCTGAGGTCCAAGTGGGAGTTGGAAGATCATCGAACGCAGGGGAAGTTAGATTGGATCACCCTGGATCGATTGCATCTGTCTTAGCATTTTGGATCTTTCCTGCAATTTTTCACAACAAATTTTTCACTCTGAATTTTGACTGTTGAACTTGAAGGCTTGAAAATATGTGTGCTGAATATTTAAAAGGTGATTTTAAACACTTGGAAAATGTACACGTCAAATTTCATCAACCACCATTCAGAATCAAAATAATTCAAAAATGTCTTTTTAATTATTTTTTTTTTTGTGTTCAGAAATTCAATGTCATTTAAAATTAAAAAAATCCGATGAAACAAATTTTGGTCTGCCCCTTGAGATACATCATCTCTTCTTCACGGGCTCCTTAAAATCGTGTACTCTCCTCGAACATTTCTCCTCATGTTAATTCTGACATTATCCAACTCCGTAAAGTCGACTGAGCTGAGATAAGGAGCAAGTTATAAAACATGACATTGCAAAATAAAGCAGGATCTGACCCACAATAAGGATTTCTCGTGATTGAAGACTGCCCTCCAGTGTTCAAAGTGAGAACTGCATGAACATGGTTTGTCCTCGTGGCTTGCCGTACACTTAATGCATTCCGGTCGGTGCTAAACATAACGTGAAACAGCAAACATTATCCGATTAGCAGACATACATTAGCATATTTTAAAGTTCCATTAACTTCTGACTTGGAGCTTTTTCAGACGACTCTGCCGCTCTGCCCCCAGCTGTTTAATGAGGTGTTTCGTAGCATTAACCGCTAACTACAACACACACACACACACACACACACACAATGTCGTTTCAGTATTTAAAGGGTCTTTAAAGTCTGAGCCAAATATGGAAATGATCAGACTACTGAACTTCTAACAATGTTTACTGGAGAGATATGTGATATGGATTTATTTATTTTATTTTATTTTTTCATCCAGTAGCAGTTGTAATGTAATAAAGTTAACATATTTGCAAAATAAATAAATAAATAATAATAATATTAATAATAATACTACTACTAATAATAATAAATTTGTGTGTATTGTGTAACTTTTCCCAGTTGTTATTGCTTTGTCTGGAATGTTTCACAGTACGGCATTAAACCTTTCTATCTTCATGGAGACTAAAACAGAGTTCCAGGTCAGATCTGTGGAGAGGCGACCGCTCACAGTCACAATGTTTGTTTTTCTAGGGATTTCTGAGCGATAAAACCGCCTGTAATTGAATAAATGTAAAGTCGAGCTGTTTAATGTCACACTGTGGAACATTCCAGGTAGAGAAGTGACATCTCCATAGAAACAAGCAGGTGACAGACCTCCAACCAAAACACTGCACAGTGCAGCTTTAACAAAAAAAAAAAGAAATGATATCAAAGAGACTCTTTAAGAGATTCTTAAAGTTCTCGCTATGGAACTCTTGCCTGGAATGTTCCACAGTATGACATTACACTTATTTATCTCTATGGAGACAGCAGGTGACGTCACAGGGCCAAGTTAAATGCCAGATCTGTGGAGAGGTGAGCCCACTCACAGTATGCATGCAATTTTTTAGGTTAGTTTAAAAAAAAAAAAAAAACATGTTATTGAGTAAACACAAGATGGATTCCAGATAAAACAATAACATCTCCATGGAAACAAGCAGGTGGTGGACCATCATGCACTGCAGCTTTAAGGGAGAACTACTAAATATTGACACCACTGATAAATATGACAAAAAAAGGGGGCGGCAGGAGCTCGGTTGGTAAAAGTGTTTGTCCATTGATCTGAATGGGGCCACATGAAAAACAGAAAATATTGGTTGGGTCAAAAAGCTGCTCAGACTGGTAAGAGTTTATGTTATGATTAAGCAATGAAAAAGTGAGGTTGCCTTACAAAAAATATCATTAAAAAAACATCACTAAAATCAAAGCAATGCAGTTTGTTTAGTTTGTAATTTCAAATGAGCTTAAACGGGCCGGTCAGAGTCAAACAACCATTTCACTGCCCTGGTCTGGTGGATAGTGGCCAAACTGACTTCCAGGTGATTGGCCCGGCAAGTAATGTTGACTCCAAGTTTAAAATGAGACTGATTTAAATTGCAGTACCACTAAAAGCTCAGATAAACCCATCTGAGCGATAACAGTCCCATAACATCTGTAGTGTACTGCATCAGCTACTCTTCATTTTAAATTGTACTTACATTTCACAGTCATATTCACAATCATTCAACTAAAAACAGTTAAAGGGCCCATGTGACGCTACTTTCTGATCTATGTTAAAATGTTTCCTCATCACAAAGCTGAGTTGTGTTTTGTTTCATTCACATGTTTAAATGAACACACAAACACTCATACTGGAAGTGCTCCATTGTGTTTTTAAACTCCACGAGAAATAAAACTACTTCAGCACCAGCGCACACCTGCTTTATTCACACTGTTTCAAACATTTGTGTACAATCATTCTTTTTGAGCTGCTTTTTGACGCCATCACCACCACAGTGTCCTCTTATATTCACTTCAGTTCAGGCGTCATTCATTCATTCATTCATTCATTTATTTGTTTTTTTGTTTGTTTGTTTGAGCCAGGTACAACAAAATTCAAAAACAATAACCAAAATAGTGATATGTACATGAACATATTTGGGACCTGGTGCTCAAAAGGAGGAGGATGAAGTTTAAAATACTTATAGAGTCCTACCCCAACTGTTTTACATTATCACGTGGTTCACACTTTTTTTTTTTTTTTTTTTTTTTTTTTATAACACCTTTGGAGTGTTTACCTGTCATTATGCAGAAATATATACAGAAACATATCCACATATACATACATATACATGTACACACATAAGTGCATATATACATATACACATCATAGATATCCAGTACAGATACTCATTATAAATGTTTATACACATATGCATACATGCAGAAACATATTTTCATTTGTAGACATACATACTGACAGTAATTTTACCGTAGGCACAAAGTTTATTGTTTATGATCGTACAAAATAAACAGTAATGTGAATGAAAAATTCAAGGATTTTTGTTTTTGTTTGTGGTTGTACAAACTAATAATAGTAATGAAGAAGGCACAAAAGTCTATGGCTTATGATCGTACAAAATAAAAACAGTAATGAGGATGAAAACTTGAAACATCACTGTACTTTGCTCTGACTTGTTCTATATTTTGGAGTGAAGCGTTGCCCTTCAGAATGTCCTGTTGAGTATTTTTAGGATTTATAGTTATATTTGGGAATATTCCAACCAGGACTTTAAATTATTAGAGAAATAATCGTGAATCAGATTAGAAAAGGACATTTTTTTCTCATTCTTGGAGGTCGAGGAAATGCAGTTATGGGGTTAGAAAGTCTCCAAACTGCACTATAAAGTTGCCTGCATTACCATAGATCAGAGCAGAGAACAATATTAGAGGAGGCCACAGTGGATGTGTCATGAATTCAAACTCAACATGTAATTCCCCCTCTCGTCCACCAGGGGGAGTTCTTGAACTATGACATGCTGATCGGAGTGAACCAGGGAGAGGGGCTCAAGTTTGTGGACGACAGTGAAGACAATGACGGCATCTCGGCTGCAGCCTTCGACTACACCATCTCCAACTTTGTGGACAACCTCTACGGATATCCAGAAGGTACAGGGGTCATAGTGTTAGTGTCATGTGAAAATATACAGACAGTTTTAACATTGTGATTTTATATGGGCTATGGAAAAGAAGGGACCTATATAAATCATAGCCACTGTACTACATGTGCTTCTCACTCACGAGAAGCTGATTAAAGGCCTAAAGTTACTACTACTATTACTACATGTAACGAACAGGCCATTTGTTACTGTATAGATGAGTATTCACACGTGCACTTTTATTCACTTGATACATATATTTATTTACGTTGCATTTTTATAAGTGCTGTGTGCTATTAAAGTGCAATGTAAATATGATTAAAGTGCAAAGTGAATGTAAGTGCATGTGTGAATACTCCTCTACTGTATGTTTGTGACACTACTATAGCTACTACTACTATTACAACTACTGCTACTGCTACTGTTACTACAACTACTACACTATTACTACTTGTAGAGAAGAGGCAGGTTCAGCAGATTTACAGTGGTTTTATTGCCAGAAGACAGCGGTCGGTGGCACAGCACTGGCTTTTAACATAATGTACTGGCATTAGTAGATTAACAGTCTTCAAGATCTCTCTAATTAGAATATAGTAAAATAAAATATTGTCTGTGTGTGTGTGGGGGGGGGCCAAATTTAATTTAATTTATAAAAAATGTATCACAACTGAGCTCAAGATGCCATTGTAGTCATTAACAACGTAAAATGTTTATTTTTATTTATTTTATTTATACATTTTTGTAATATCTGGCTACCCAAAGTGACAACTAAAACCTAACTTAACATAATTAAAAGATTTTTGATTAGATTTTTGAGCTGCTTGAAATCAGAAAATACAGAAAGACAATGGCCATGAAAAAAAAGACAATTGTCACTGAAAGACATTTCTGATTGAGTTATTATGCTACGATAAAAATGAGCAAAGACAATGCAACAGCAAAACAGGTGTAGGTGCTTGTACTTTATTGTTACTGTCTTAAAATAATGAAAAACAACTACAGTAGTTCATTTGAAACAGTTTGCAGTGATCCAAAATTATTCCACACTTACCTTATGCTTCCAGAACATTCTAACTATTCATTGCAGTAAGTTTTAATGCTAACAACAGCTACCATGCTAACCAAGCACTTCTGGATTATTGAACAGTAAAATGGGTTATAATTTCAGAGATGCAGACAGCAGGTATCTGATATTTTGACCTCACATGCTGCTTATACTGTTTATTTGGAAAGGCAAATTTTGCACAAACACATGGAAAGAAAATTGGGTACAGAGCCTCTGAGGAAGTTTTATCATAAAACATTTAATATTTAATTCAACTTTTTTAAAACAACTCTACAAGCAAACCTATTTTCTACTTTGAGTTTTCCTTTTGTCTCCATCTAGGTAAAGACATCCTGCGAGAGACCATCAAGTTCATGTACACGGACTGGGCCGACCGGGACAACGGGGACATGCGCCGCAAGACTCTGCTGGCACTGTTCACCGATCACCAGTGGGTGGCGCCGGCGGTCGCCACAGCCAAACTGCACGCCGAGTTCCAGTCCCCGGTCTACTTTTACACCTTCTACCACCACTGCCAGACGGAGACGAGGCCGGAGTGGGCCGACGCCGCTCACGGAGACGAGATCCCGTACGTGTTCGGAGTGCCCATGATCGGAGCCACGGACCTGTTCCCCTGTAACTTCTCCAAGAACGACGTGATGCTGAGCGCCGTCGTCATGACCTACTGGACCAACTTTGCCAAAACGGGGTAAGATGAAAATGGAAACTAGGCCTGTGACCGTAACACATTTTGAAGCATAATATATTGCTACAGATACATTTTATGATAAACAATAATATTATAACGAATTTATGACACTGACGCAATAAAAATAAAGCAAGATCATCCCAGTGAACGTGTTTTTAGACAGTATCATTAAAAGGCAGGAGTTAAACAAATGAATAGAATAAGTAGTGAGCCACATAAGTCACTTATTAAACCCTCTACAGCTTAAAGGTGAATTGGGTAACTTTCTTGGAGGAGGGTCCGTCACCTGCTTGTCTCCATGGAGATGTTATTGCTTTGCCTGGAAGCAGTGGTTTCCATGGTGTGACATTAAACATATCCATTTAGCATTTATTTAATATGGGTGTTTCTATAGCACAAAAAAACAATAGTTCTCTCTGTGAATAGGGTTGCCTCTCCACAGAGCTGACCTGTAATGTAGTCCATAGTTGTCTCCCCTGAGATAGGGTTTAATCTCTACCACGTGCCTTCATGAAGGCAAGAACTTGACGGACCTTCCACCGGAAAAGTTGCGCAATGCACCTTTAAATTTGATCATATTACAACAAAAATAACAAAAATGTTCTTTTATTATAAAGAAAATGTGCATATGATAAATTTTTGTTCCAGATACCGTATACTGAAGGTCATTACTGTGACAGGCCTCATGAACACAGGGTTGATTCAGGGGTGGACTGGCAGTCTGTATGTTCTGGAAAAGTCCAGAGCTTGGTGCCAATTGGGGCCAATTTTTTCCTCAATCCTCAATCCTCCCAGTCCTCAATTTTTGTCTCGTTGGCCGATTTGTGGGGGAAAAGTCCAGAGCCATTTTTTTTTTTATCCCAGTCCGTCCCTGGGCTGCTTCATTATTGCTAAACCTGGAAGCATCATTGTTTTGCTCAGAACAATCTAAATGATTTCAAGCTGTTATTTGTGTACTGTCTAATTAAACATGTAGAGAAAGTAAGAGACTGTGTTGGGAAGTAAATAAATACAAGTACCAAAAACACTTCTTCTGATTGCTAATTTTGAGTACCTGTAATCCGATACAGTTACTTTTTCATTTGGTGGTATTCAGAACACACTTAAATCACACCCCTAAATTAAAAGGACAGTTCTCTACCATGTAATTTTGGCTTTGATATGCACAGTATTAGTGGGAAAAATAGAAAACACAACTTTTGCAGTGAGCGCAAGTGTGATTTTTCTTCTCTAACTGAACATGAATAAATGCCTCACAAACAACAGATAACAGAAATAAAGCTGTTTGTAATGTAAGTTGTTTTTACACTATAATATAAAGCAACTCAATGTAAAAGTAAAAGAGTATTCAGAATACAGTTCTCTGATTGAGCCATGTAACAAAATACAGTTCAAAATACATGTTCATTTGGGTATTTAGTATTCTAACTAAATATATTTTCAAAGTATTCTTCCATCACTGAGTACAAACTTAATGTATTTTCTTTGTAATGTTTTGTGACACTTTTGGTTAAGAGACGATGTAGATTAGAAAAGTGACTTTGCTTCATGTTTTGAGTGACAGAACGAGAACACATCACTCTGAACTGGAGTTAATTAAAGCTTAGGTACCTCAGAGAAGCGCGCATGAAATCTGTCTCATTACCAGCTCTCCTTCTGGTACACTGCATTCACATGCATGATTTACAACAGTTTTTTGCGTGTAGTGAAGCGAGGCACTGTATGTAGCCTCATTATTTTTGCGTGAGAGTGTGTGTGTGTGTACATGTGGGTGAGACTGTGCTTGTGGCAGTGTGTGTGGGTTGTTTGGGTGTGTGGGGTTGGGCACTTTTGGTGGTAGTGTGTTTGGGTGGAAGGGCATGTGGGATTGTTTTTATTGACTGTAAAGTACTTTGTGTTACACTTTCTTGCATGAAAAGCTGTCTGATTGATTGAAGTAGACCACCCTTGCATATCCAATTGCCTCTTTCACATATAATGTTCATTTTTGCCAAATGTTAACAAAGCGAAACATTTGGGGATGTAGTTGTGTAGTTAGTGTAGTTACTCACTTCACTCATGTGGGTATCAATCACTTCTCTCATAAACTTAGACTAGGATTGTTTTAAATACACTGCAATGGTCCATCAAAATGACCATCAGTGTGACATTGTCCCAACACTGTTGAATTTATGCTCACACTAGATGTCAAGTCCCTCCGTGAACCAAAATACTGAATGAAGATTGAATTTCTATACTCACATGCTAGACGATATTTAGTCATTTTTTGGTGTTGTGGTTATTCAGGTACTGATGTAAAATGTGTTTGGTTTCTCAACAGCGACCCCAACTTGCCTGTCCCTCAAGACACCAAGTTCATCCACACCAAGCCCAACCGCTTCGAGGAGGTCATCTGGACCAAGTTCAACTCCAAGGACAAGCAGTACCTCCACATCGGCCTGAAACCCCGCGTCCGAGACAACTACCGCGCCAACAAAGTGGCCTTCTGGCTGGAGCTGGTTCCTCACCTCCACAGCCTTCACGAGGAACTCTTCCCCACGACAACGCGCTCCCCGTCGGGCCCTGGCTCCGGCCCGGGGACCCGCACTTGGTCACGCACTCCCGGCCCCCGCACCACCCGCCACCCTTACCCCACCTTCCCCTCCGACCCTGAACCTGAAGGATCCGACCGCCCCAACCAAAACCTATTTCCCTTCGACACCAGGGACTACTCCACGGAACTCAGCGTCACCGTGGCTGTTGGCGCCTCCTTGCTTTTCCTCAACATCCTGGCATTCGCCGCTCTCTACTACAAACGGGACAAGCGGCACGAGCTGCGACGCCACCGCCTGTCTCCACAGAGGGGCGGTCCGGCCAACGACCTCGCCCACAGCCAGGAGGAGGAGATCATGTCCCTGCAGATGAAGCACTCCGAGCACGACGCGCACCACGATCTGGAACCCCTCCGTCCCCACGACATCCTGCGCCCGTCTTGCCCGCCCGACTACACCCTGGCACTGCGGAGGGCGCCAGACGATGTGCCCCTCATGACGCCCAATACTATAACCATGATCCCCAGCACCATCACCAGCATGCAGCCCCTCCACGCGTTCAACACCTTCCCATCCACGGGGCATAACAACACCCTACCGCACCCGCATTCCACCACCCGGGTATAGTACAGCAAAGGAGCAACATGGCGCGTCGTAACCAATAGCAGTACCACGCGTCTTAAGGACTCCTGGATCTCCTGTGTGAAGTGCTGGTAGTGAACTCTATGGCGCCCCCCGCTGCTTTGAGCTGGAGAGTCGCATCAGCACTGTTGAGGAGTGGAGTGATCTCTTGAAAGACTTCGTAATAAAGGACAAGTCGTATTTGCCAATATCATTCCTGTCCTTTTTGTCTTTTAGCATTCAGTTGGTTTTATAAACGTTGTCCCCGTTCGGCTTCAGTAGACATGTTACTATGAGTTAGTCTGTCAAATCATCTCATTTTTGATTTTTTATTTTTTTTTTTCTATGACTGTCTGGTACTTTCAATTCAAGTTGGATTTCAATGGAGCATAGACTAAACTACCTCTGGGGAACGTACCAAGGAGGTCCGCTTGCACCAGTGAACTTTGCAAAACCAATCAGAGAGACAAATGAGCCTGTTTTGGAAGTTTTGTTTATGCTTGTGGTGGCAATGGGTATTCATAAGAGGGCTTCCAAACCCACTTGCTAAAAGGATGGAAGATTATTTGTTTCATCAGATTTTGAATTTTAAATGCCATTGAATTTCTCATTTTGACTTTTTTTTTTTTTTTTTCATTCTGAATTGCATTGAATTTTTGCATTTTTATACAAGAATACATTTTCAATTTGACACTATTTCCTGGATGTTTTAAGTAGAATTTTCAATTGTTTGTTTATGCCTTGGTATGTTACAAATTTACAAATTTAAACTTGGAAACTTAGCTAGCATTTAAAATTCTATGCGTGATGAAACAAATTATTTTCCTTATATAGGCTCCTCTTTTATCCTACCAGCATTCAGAATTAATGGTGCCAAGTCTATGCGTTCTCATGGAGTGTAAGAAAATGAAAAAAAAGAAAAAAAAAGTATGTTATATTTCAACTAAAACATGCTGTGTCTTCATGACTGCCAAACTGGGCCTTGATTGTGCTCTTTTTCAACATCTTTTTCTGTCAAGCATTTGTCGTTTTTGAAAGAAAAAAACAACTTTTTTTGCTGAAAATAGAGATATAGAGAAATAATATTATATATAGTTCTATATAAAAGTGTACAAAGAAAGTATATAAATGTTTGTTTTTTTCTCAGTGGGGAACTATGCATGTGGTGGGGGAAAGACATTGTCAGTCGATGCACGTTTTGAATCATAACTTCATATTTTTCAGTTGAGCCTCACACAAGCCTCCTGTCCTCTCAGAGATTTCATTTGCAAGATTCCAACTCATGATTATCTACAGTTATTTACAGCTGTAACACTCCGGTCTGCACAAGAATATTTTTGTACAATGGCAAGGCTGAGAGACAAAGATGGCCCTTATTTTGAGCACATGCATGTGTTTTAATATCCATAAGAGACAGTGAGTGTATGTGCAGCAAAGGCACATCTCCACTGGGACGCTCTGGAGCGAGGATGGAGCTGTTTTTGTTTTTATGTCACAGGCAACATTGGACACACAAGCAGGCCAAACATGACTTTGATTTAGAATTGTTTTATTGTAACATTCAGTCTGGGAATGTAGCATGGCTCCACTTTTCCAAATGCAGCGAGTGGAATTAATGAATTCAAATTAAAAACCCACAAAGCACATAAAATGCAAGCCTGATTTTTAGAGCAGCGGTTCTCAACTGGTGGATCCATCATCAACCCGAAATTTTTAAAAAGTATGTTTTTTTAAAATATATTTATATTTTCAATCAAAGAGCTTCAGACAGTTCCATTATAAACAAACTCAGGTGTTTTTTATGTTTTATGTAAAATTGTTCTTTTTGGAAAACTGGATTTTTAAAATATTTGGTTTATTTAGTTTTTTGAATTTGGTTTCTTCCAAACAATTTCCTCTACAGTTAATAAGTATATCAATTACAATTATTATAAATTTTTTTTTCTCTTCTCTCTCTCTTTTTTTTTTTTTTAAACTATTTTTTACCACCTGTTGAGAACCATATTTTAAGGGTGACCTCTGAGATCTCCTAAACAGGGTAAAAACAACCGTCAAATTTGTATTCTGCTAATTTTCCACCAGGGGTCCAGCGAACAGTGTTACACAACGTGGACGGAGGGAGTGAACTGTGCTTTCTTTCGCTAGCAAGAGCCTATTCTTTTTATTTAAGCGTGTTGGTCAGACTGAGAGACGGACAGAGAATTTGTACTCCCACTGAACGAGAAATGTGCACAATGTAAAATAAAAACGGACCCGATTGTGCAGAGAAAATCTTACGGACTCACTTCTTACGGCTATTTCAACGGCCTTAAACGGAGACAATAATGGACAAAATGGACAGCTGTCTCCACTGAGGACACTTTTGTACTGACCACCCTGGACACAAAAGCATTATTCTCCATAGACATATAAGGCGAGTTCGGACACAAAACACGGCGGCTGAAAGAACCAACCAAGCAAGGTGCAAAGTGTACATTTTTAAGTGTTCGACGCATACGGATATTTGTAAATATTAAGTTTTTGGGTTCTTTTTCTTAATTTGTGTGAATGAATGAAATGCTTATCTCTGTGATAAAAGACAACAGGTGCATGTTGCAAAGAATCACCTCTAGATCATACTGTATTGTGCTTCTGTTTGGTTTTTGATTGTTGATTGACAGAAGGAACCATTTATTCTTGGAAATAGAGTACAATTCTATGCTTTAGTCCCACAAAACAATGTGTCTTATACAATGTAATCAAATATCCCCCATGACGAGCTCAAATCATTTCACCTCTTTATTACATTAAATACATTTGTTGTACAGATGTCTCATGTCTTTATTTAGGTGTAAGTGATACAAGAGACAAACATAGGACCCACTAATATCCACAGGTTTTGGGTGACTGGGTGAAATTTGCTAGTCTGATTCATCAGCTGGTTTCACTTCGTGGAAACTAGTGATGGGTGAATGGAGCCTCATGAAGCATCGACACCTCAGTCGCAATATTGTCTCAAATGGTTGGACGTGTCTGAGGCCTTGGAGAAACACTGACCTCTAGTGGACAAATTTAACCATTGGCACGCAGGTGTCTCAGCATCAATGAAGTATTATTAACGCAGAGCATACACCGTACCTAACAACAACAACAACAATAATAATGATGATTTAAAATAATATGTAAAGAGCAACATAAATAGCAGCTGTAAATAAGAAAAGGTGACCTTGTTAGGTGGAATTAGATCAAAGTGATCCAAAACCATGGATCGCTTTTTTCCACTTATAGATGCCATCGAAAATGAAACAAATGCCAAAAGTCGCCAAAATCACCACTGACATCACACAATACTCCTCACTACCCAACATTTTTAACAAATATTGGTGCATCTTTTATACTGTAGCAGTTTAGCCCTTGTCAAACCACAGAAGTGCACTGAACACTCTGAACCAATCGCAGAGCGGAACATTCACAGAGCCAATGAAACGCTTCGATACACTGAAGCGATTGACACGTAGAGCGAAGCAGTAGGGGGAGGGACGGACACTTCCACACTTTGGTCACGTGAGCGGCTGCTGCGAGACGAGCTCCGAGGCAGCGCTTCAGAGCAATTTGTTTCAGAAAGAACGAGACGTGCTCCAGAGCTCCGACTCATTTGCTCGTCACTAGTGGAAACCGTCTGACCTCGCAGCATTTAGAATTTGTTTGCTCAATGGTACTTCTTTATTTAACTAATCACTGCTATTTGGTCATGGCATATGTAATGCGCTGCTAACAGGACTAACTGGTATATTCCACTTTTCTGAAATCCCATTGGAAGAAGGACAATAACATCTTTCCCCTTGATAAAATGCATCCAAAATTCTCTTTGTTCTGGCTTTAAATCCTTGATCTTGGGAACCATTGCTAACACAGAATGTCTGGCTCTTCACTAATTGGCTGGTGCCTGAACTCTCACTTCCGGGGTGTTTGCAAACCGTCTTGTGTATTCTGATTCCTGATCTAGTCACTGGAGAGAAATGAAATTGAGTGGAGGCACTAGGTGGCGCCAGCCTGACTAGAAATTTGCACATTTAAAACAAAATATTACATCTCTGACTGGTGAAAGGTTCTCAAAATGGTCCCAATAAACCAGAAGCAGGATATAGGCACATAAATATAGTGAAAAACACACAGCTTCACAGGCTGATTTCAGGATTTACACCTGCTGTATTGAATGAAAGCAATACTGACCTCAAAGAGACAGTTCGGAATTTTGGACATAGGGCCTCATTTCCTATTGAGCCAGAGTGTTAGAGACGTGTGGAGACACTTTTAAAAAAAAAATTTCCATCCAGTCCTTGTATTTGCAGAGGTCGCTGGTGCTAGACTAGTGCAAGTCAATGGCCACTGTTAACCTGCCACTAAAAACAGTCTTACCCACTCTACAAAACACCTGAAACAAATCTATTATTACACCAGACTGTCCATGTGAATGTCTGTGTCGATAGAATAATGTTTGAAATAAAACCAACCTTGCATTTGAAGGATTTCTGTCTGAGCAGCAGCAGGGAAATGTACTTCCTGATAGAAAGCTCAGCAGCAGCGGACAGATATCACCGAGCACTTACCTTACTGGCAAAGTAAAATTCCACTGCTGCTGAGAAAATAGTCCCTCAACATGTGACGATTCATGTGATGCAAAGTTAGTTCTAACAGCTGTGGTGTCTGACATTCTCCATTTGAGGCCTGTGAGCCTCATAGCTCCCTATAAGGTCTTAATGTATGTATATTAAAGTGTGGGGGGTTCACATTCCGAGAACTGTAAGATAAACATATAGGCAACATCTAAAAATGCTTAAAACTTGGACATGACGGGATCAGGTTGCGAAAGGGGATGGCTTATAGAAACTATAAAATCTGAAGACATCTGATTTGGGTGTGTGTCTCATATTGGTCAGAGCTCCCCCAGACTTTGTCTGTAATTAGGCTCTTTTACTCTGTTTTTGCAATAAATAATACTACACTATCAGAGTTTGTTTTTGGAT